ACTACAAATTCGAAAAATCTCCCCCAACGGCAAAATGACAAATTTCTCAACAAGCACCGTACCCCACCTACCCCACACCTGTCATGACTCGAAAAACGAATGCGCCCGTAAATGGGGGTAATTACAATTCCGAAGCAATACGAGGCAAATTCGCTATTCAGGGGCGCGAAAAAAGTCAAGAACGGAAAGAGAGATTGAAAAGAGGACCGTAACTATTCATTACAATTTGAGGAAGGTGGCCGATTTTGGACTCGGGTCCAAAGTGTGAAGAAGAAAGTCGAAGTTTTCGAATGTAAAAGGATACAGTGTTTCCGGGGGGCCATGTTGGATGAAGAGATGAGGCGTTGAACTTTTATTTTTCCGTGAAGTTTTTGCCAGCTGAGTTTCGCAACTATGGTGTTGCACTTTGCTTTATTGGACGTTATTTTTTCACAGGTTTTGCGATTAACAGGGGAAGTACTCCAAGTGCGACGCTCAGATTTTCTTTAAATGTTGCACACACGTCGGGACTGGACTAAATATCAATTCCTGAAAGTTTTAGCTCGCGCTTTGCAGGCGCCGCCAAGATGTTGAACGATTTTTGCCGCCGAGAGAGCACGCTCAACGTGGAGGGCGGTCACAGAGGAAAACGCTTTTTGGCCATAACTTTGGCAGTTTCGGGCGGAAAATTTTGATTTTTTGTAGAAACATTATCCTTTACGGATGAAATATATAGGCATGAAACTATCCGTGCCGAAATTCGGCAAAAAGTCCTAAATTTTGGCCGACTTTCGATCTAAAAATCTCGGTTGTTTCTGCAAAGCGCGAGCTAGGATTCTCGCATATATAAAGCGGGAGATAAAAGATTTTCTGAAAAATTTTAGAAATTTTTCTGTTTTCACTTTTTTTTTAAAAAAAAAGTAAATTTTGAAAAATTTCCGGAAATTTTCGATTTCGGAAAGTCAAAAAACATTCTTACTCCGAACGACAAATTTTTGGAAAGTTGGATCAAAAATGGCTCGCCAAAAGTTCGATCCGGAAAGTTGAAACAAAAATGGCTCGCCCATTTTATCTGGTGAGTAAGACGCCGTTTTTACTCACCAATTTATTTTCTTCAAAACTATTTTTGTGAGCTGCGCCCTTGATCACCCGGGAATTCCCAGATGTGTCAAATTTCTCCCCCGTAAGAAAATTGTTTTTTCCCTCTTTTCGATATTGTGTAGCCTGTTTCTACATGAAGATGGCATGAATACTAGACAAGTAAGTTGTTATTAGTAAGAGCAGGTGTTCTTCTTTCAATTGACACCAAATATTTTCCCTTTATTTCAGGGAAAGGTACAGAATTTCTCCAATTCGTAAAGCTAGTTTTTCACGACCATGGATAATGTAAGTGCGCTTATCTCGTTTTTTGTTCCGTTATTGGAGTAAACAGTTCTAGGCTGGGGCTTCTAGAGGACAACGCACTCTTTAGTTTTGTTATATTCTCCATCTATCAAACGCCATCAATTTCGATTTCTAGGTGTCATGTACAATATCGAAATCCGCTCAGATCTGCCGGATTTTTGCCCGAATGCGTTCTAAACTGAGGTAATAACGTAATAAGGCTCAAATAACGTTGTTACAATAACTTAGTATTTGAAATTTTTACGTCGTTATTCCTCAAAATTGATGGGGTTTCATACATGGAGAATATACATGAGAGTGGGGTCTAGCCTAAACGACGTAGAATCTTGACGTCGTAGCAAAAAACGAGATAATCTCACTTACATTATCCATGGCCATGAAGCTTTACGAATTGGAAAAATTTTGTACCTTTCTCTGAAATAACAGGGAAATTTTTGGTGTCAAATGAAAAACGTACATCTCCTCTTGCTAATGCTAACTTACTTGATCACTTTTCAGCCCATCTTCGTGGAGAACATAGCTTCACAACATCGCACAAACATAAAAATAATTTTTTCGGAAGAGAAAAACTTGACACATCAGGGAAAGACTTGGCGTCAACCTTGCAACCTGCAGTGCGGGGCCAAAAAGAGGAAGAAAGTAAAAACAAGCTCTGACTTTCCTCGACTCCGAGCGGGGAGTAAGATCCGGTCCTACTCCCGACCTTGAAGTCGGAAAGCCAAACAAAAAATTGACTTTTTTTTGCATTTTCCGGAAAGTAAACTGAAAATTTACTTTTTTTTTAAAAAAAAAGTAAAAACAGAAAAATTTTAAAAATTTTTCAGAAAATCTTTTATCTCCCGCTTTATATACTAGAAAAAATTATTCGAAATTTGTGCGAAGGTTCATCAAAATCTGAGGGTCGCACTTGGAGTATTTCCAAGTACTTTCCTCTGTAAGTTTTATTGGATCAAGTAATGAGCTTATTACACGACTAATGCCTCAAGTTAATCAAGTTTAAAAACCTATTATTTTCGCTAATTTTACCATGCCATTTGATCCTTTGGGGTTGACAAAAACGTACCATTTTGCATCCGGGACGTACCAAAAAATGTGGCAAAAAACCTCCCTCTCCAAGTGGAAAAACTCCAATTTCAAGCGTTTTTTACACAACATGCTGCACTTTTTACAGCTGGATCAGGTCCGTCACTATAGCTGTGCCGTTAAAACAACAAAAAAAACTGAAATTATAAGTCTGTCGGGAAAATAATGAGCACACTGCCGTTGCCGCAACCGCGTCGCTGAAGTGAAAAGAAATTTGATTTTGTCGCGGCACAATTAATTTTCTCTGCGTTGATGCGATTTTCAATGCGACAGAGTGCTCATTATTTTCCCGACAGACGACAGAACTGAACCTTTTGACCTTGCGGTCAACCCCTTTTAAACTTGAGAGCTTTGAGGCCATAGTCGTGTAACACGGCCATTACACGTGGGAATGATCCGATAAAAAGTAATCGCAAAACTTATGGGAAAACAACGGCTAATAGGGCCAAGTGCAGCGTCATAATTGCAAAGTTCGGCTGGAAGAAAAACATCACTGCAAAATAAACACTTCATCGGCTAACGTGTGTTTACCGCGGAACTCCCTACGCTCCGGCGGACACGTGAAAAGTGGAGTAGAGTCATCGCAAGACACGCGGCATTTTTTTAATTTACACAAAATTAAACAAAAAACATTCGCCCGGGGAAATGAAGCACAATGAGAGAGAGGGCCGGTGCTTCGGCACATGTAGTTTAGCGGCGATGACAAGGTCCAGGCATCAGATAAATTTACCAAAAAGAACGTCAACACTAAATGCCAGCTCTGTGGGAGAGTTCTCGGGGGGTTTTGAGGGGCATTTCGAACTGGTACTAGTCGCTCCAGAAAGTGAAGAAAAGCGAAATATTGCGTAAAAGGAAGAGATTTTCTATCTCGAAACTGACTCATTTGACTTTTTTTCGTTTTAGGCTCAAAAAATCCGCATTTTTCCAAGCTATGTTTCCATCTAACTTCAAACAGGGACGAGGGAAACTTGGAGAAATCGGCAAAATCGAAAAATTTTTTAGACGTTGTAAATTTAGGCTTCAAACAGGTAAAAGACAACCGTTTTTTTATATAAAACATACATGGTGAGATGAAGCAGGATTCTAGCTTCAAAATTATGTATACAGAAACCCCCATTCTACATTATTTCCATGTTCAATCAGGTTATCTTTGAGGCAAAAAATTAGCTTTGAGCTAAAACAGAATGCCGAGAGAGTTCTCATTATTTACGCGACAGGCAAAAAGATGGTTCACAAAGTCTTGACATGTCTGTACAGTCACCCAAAAACCTTGTCGCTTCAAACGACGACGAGTAGAATTCACGGTGCACTGTGACCCTCAAAAAATTTTGTAGATGCCTTTATACAGTGAGGGATCTGATACAGTGGCAAAAAATGTCCCATTTCGCACCCAGGAAGGAATCAAATTGTCGCAAAATACCTCCCTTCAATTCCATGAAAAAACAATAAAATTCCGCAAATACGGAAGGCCAAAAGAAAGAGAGAAGCGCAAAGGTCGCCCGTTTTTTGATTGCGAACATTGTCGGATGCATTTGGAGCTGGCGCTCTCTTCTTGAAGGACAAGGTACGCTTCTCGAAACTGGGGTTTTTAGCTTAGAGAAAGGAGGTATTTGGCGACAATTTGGTTCCTTCCTGGATGCAAAGTGGGACGTTTTTTGCCACTGGATCAGGTCCCTCACTGTAGTTGAAAAAAGCTTTCGTCGCGGCGACCTTTGAATTTCACAGTGCGGAAAATTTGCGACAAAAGAAAGTCTGCGCATTTTATGGATCCACTAGTATAAAGTTATTATCGTAAGGTATATAAATGAATCTGAAAAAATATAGCACTCGCGCCCAAGGTATCCACAATTTGTAATGGGCCAAAAATATACCTGCCACTAATTGAGAAACGGATAAAACAGCTTTAGCCGAGATATTCATTAGTCTTCTCCGATCTGTGAGACAAAAATACCAGAAGAAGCAAATGTCCTGCAGAGAAATGGGCGAAAGTTGCACGCAATGTCCAGATTGGCAATTAGTTTGGCCATAGGTTACAATTAATCCCCAGATTTCCCTGTTTGGAAACTGGGCGGCTATTTTAAACCACGTCCCGGGTTTTAGGGTGGATTGGCTGAGAAATGATTTAAAATGCAGCTACAAGAGGTCTTTGTTGATTAGGCGCATTCGTATGGTCATATTTATACACAATTTCCATGATTGATTTTTAATAAAGTGCGTGGACTTTTATTCTCTATAACACAATGGATTTTGAACTTTTTCCCATGCTTGTCGCCAACGCATAGTAAATTTTTTTCTTTTCGCACAATGTAAGTTACGAAACAGCCGTTTGCACTGTGCAAAGTCTTAGGCAACGATATTACGAATGCACAGTGCAAAAACCAAAAAAAAAAGTGTAATGCACTGTGCAAAGTGAGGCTTTTTTTGTGCACCGTGCGGGCCGAAAAAAATGTCTATGCACTTTATATATTTATCATATTGCTAAAATCAGTCTGTCGGGAAAATAATGTGTATTTGTCGCGCCTTGAAAGCCCGTTATGGCCTTGCGACGGCTAGTCGCAGCTGGGGATTGGGTTTGTGATTATGGGCGATTGTGCTGCGAAAAATCCACATTATTTTCCCGACAAACTGATAGAGAGCCCTATCAGTTTGGTACCTTATCCAAGTAATAATATATGGAGAAATAAGGTAGTTTCTTAACTCAAAAAAATATATTTTTCCCCATCAAACCAAATAATAATCCGGTCACAGCCAAAGAATATCGCCAAATCTAAATACCTCCCTCTCCCGTCCCTAAAATACGGAACCGAACGTGGAGCCGGCCCGTGGAACACCAAGCCGTCCGGGGCGAGGAATGCGGGGACGGGCCGGTGCTGGAATGGAATGGAGAGCGGCGCGGCCGAAAAAATTAAAACGAGAGACCATATCCGTTTCTATTTGGCTTTCCCCGCCGCCGCCACCGCCGCAGCCGCTCGCTCCCCTGCTCGGCCGCAAATGAGGGCGCACCATAATGAGGGCCGAATGGCCGCAGGCATTCCGGCCCGAACGGAGCGCTCGCAACCGAGAGACGACCAAGATGAAGGGCAAATGTGGAGAGAGGGGGAAATATGTCAAAACACAAGTTTATACGCGACATGACGTGCAGAGAGGGATGCGGGAGCGTTCGCGGACTCGCTGAAGTGATTTTTAGCGTTTTTATTGCGCAAAAAATGTCAGTAAGCGACAGTCTTAAAATAACTTGTTGCACGGTGCGTAAAGCTAGAGATTGCACAGTGCAAAGCAAACTTGTGTTTTCGCACAGTGCGTAGCGTCGAAAATCATTTCATCGACTTAAGGAAGCAACTCCAGTGAGGGACCGGGTCCATTGGCAAAAAAAAGTATTAAAAACGTGGCAAAATACCTCCCATTACAATTTAAAAAAAACTGAAATACGCGCCCTTTCCCTCACAAAAAGAGCGGGCGCGCTTTTGAAATCGGAGTTTTTTCACATGGAGCGGGAGGTATTTTGCTGCATTTTTGATACTTCCCGGGCGCAAAATGATACGCTTTTTCTGGATCAGATCCCCCGCTGTAATTAAGACCAACTTTTAGCCAACTCTTGGCGTCTTTTTCAACAAAAAATACAAAATGGTACGTTTTTTGCCACTGGATCAGGCCTGCCACTGTAGTAGCCCGCATATTCATCTCTGCAAACTTTAGCCCTCGAAAAAATAAACAAAGAAATCGTTTTCTGAGAGAGTGTGCAAAATGAAGAGAGTCGCCAAGACAAAAAAAACTTTCGTCGACAATTCCCCCGTCAAATGAACTAAAAGAAAAATGACTTTGCGCTAGAAATATAGTGTTTTACAGCAGTGAAATACTCGGTCTTTGCAGTTGTCTTTGCACGGTGCATGTTGCAGAAATCACTCAAGCATTTGGAACTGTAAACGAAGAGTCTATGCGGAATTTGCGGCGATAAAGGAAGATTTTCGTTTGCTAAAGCTTCAGTGACACGATTGGCGCAGCCACAGTGCGTTCACTATTTTCCCGACAAACTAAAACTCAGTCTGTCGGAAAAATAATGCGGTTTCGTCGAGCCTCGGAATCGCCCATTATGGCGTTGAAATGGCTTTCTGGCTAGTTGAGGCGCGACAGCGACACTGCGAGACATTTTGCCGCGACAAATCCACATTATTTTCCCGACAGACTGGTATCCGCCAAATTCGAGACTTTCGTCGAATTCTGGCAAAATTCAGCCCTAAAATTGCCCTAATGGTTCCTCCAAAGTGCAGACAAGAGGCCTTATATAAATGTTAGAGTATGGTAAAAGTGACTACAAGACGATACCAGCCTTCAAGCAGCAAAGAACCCCGACAAAAGGGCCAAAAATTAATTCAAACCCACAAATTTCGATATCCAAAAAGCCTTGGGGGAATTTCGCGAAAAAAGAGGGGAATATTGAGATGAGAGCGCACCTCCGGGGCCCTGCGGCCGTCTCCGTTTAAACACGCACACGGGAAGGGCCGCCACGGGGGGGGGGAATCTCACGCGCCACTGTTTATTCGAGAATGAAATGAGCAGCCCCTCAAAGGTTGGAAGATGTCAGCGGAACAGACGGAGAATGTGTGGCCGAATTGTATATTTAATAAAAGTAGAGGAGATTGGGAGTTGAGGAAGATCGTTGCAATTTGTGTTAACAGGGAGGTACTCCAAGTGCGACGCTCAGATTTGGATGAAACTTGGCACAAATTTAGAATAATTTTTTCTAAGATATATGCGAGAATCCTAGCTCGCGCTTTGCAGAAACAACCGAGATTTTTAGATCGAAAGTCGGCCAAAATTTAGGACTTTTTGCCGAATTTCGGCACGAAAAGTTTCATGCTCATTTCTACCGTAAAGGATAATGTTTCTATAAAAAATCAAATTTTTCCACACGAAACTGCCAAAGTTATGGCCAAAAAGCGTTTTTCTCTCTGACCGCTCTCCACGTTTAGCGTGCTTTCTCGGCGGCAAAAATCGGTCGATATCTCGACGGCGCCCGCAAACCGCGAGCTAAAACTTTCAGGAATTCATATTTCGTTGACATCCCACGTGTGTGCAAAATTTAAAGAAAATCTGAGCGTGGCACTTGGAGTACTTCCCCTGTAAGATTTGACAGTTTAGCGGGGAAAAATTGAGTTTTTTTGGAAACATTACCCTCTATGATATAGATAGGTATGAAACTTTTAATGTCAAAATTCGCATGACAATGTCTTTTGACCCAGAAGTCTCCGTCGCTTCTGCAAAAAATAGCTAGAAGGTCTCGATCTGGGCCGTCTGAAAGCGTGAGCCCCTCACATGTTTCAGCAAAAACTATCCTAATTTTGCGCCCAGTTTCATTCAAGTCTGGGCGACGCACTTGGAGTATCGTCCTAGAGAGAAAGAGACCGTTCTAAAGTCGCCCAAAAGAAATCGGTCAATATCCATAATCGGCGATTGGAAATGCCCGAAAATCCACCGGCTTTCGCCGAATTTCTTGCCAAAAATTTTACGTTTTTTCCCGACGACCCTTCGCCGACAAGTGGACCATTAATTTTTCTCCACATGTTCCTCGAAACACCCTGTAAGTCAGAGAAAAAATTACAATGGATAAAGATGACGAAGGCGATTCTTAATATCATATAAACTGTATAATCAATAGACCGCTTCCATCGAACGCGTCATTTCCCAAAATTCGAGAGAACAAATCGAGCCAAAATCCATTTATGTAATCTCAAGTAGGGCTAGCTTTTGAACAGAGCAAGGAAATCACTTCAGAATCGTATGAGCAGAAATCTTTTCTGCAAGAAACTGCCCCAAATATGGGCAAAAATCCCCTTTCTTTGACTTCACTCCGACTTTTGCGTACTCTCTCAAGATCGTTGAATATCTCGGCTGCTCTCCCAAAGCTTGAGCTAGGACCTTTAGATTAAGTTTTCTCAAAAATTAGCCAAAGGAGTTTCATCATTCTCTCCCTCCTCATTCCTCCCAAGATGTCATTTTTTCATATTCAACCCCGAGCTTTCACAAACTTCCCGTTATAGCTTCGAAATACCCTTAATCATCACCTCCATTGGCCCTAATAACCTTCGAATTTGACCACATTTTCGGCGTAGTCACCGACCACAATTACCCCAAAATGGAATGCCTCAAGGCGGCAATCAATTCGACACCCTCTTCTAATTGAAACACCCATAATTAAGGGCGATACCCATCAATAATAGCGGATGGGGAAGTGGATATAAATAATTTAGCGGCCAAAGAAACAAAAATTTTTTTTGCTCTCTAAACCAGACACTCTCGACATTTGCACTATTTTTTCTCATTTTAAACCTGTCTTTTATTCCCTCTTTTGCCCAGAGGGCCTTAAAAATCTCAGGAGTTTCATGTCTCTAACTAAAATCCTTTTTTCTCCGGCCTCCCTCTCAGTTTTGTATGATCTATAATTTAGGCGGTTTTTAAGCCGGAAAAAATCAAAAATTGGGGAGGTTGTGATATTTTTATGTTTTTGTGACTGTTGAATAGGAAGAAAAGCAAAGTTCAAAGAGTCATCGGCCTCGGAGGACCCGGAACAACTCTGATGGATCACTTTCATAGGCGATTTATCTTCCTGGATGAGTTGAAATTTTGACTTGAAGAAATTCGACTTTAAATAAAAGTTTCAAATAAAAGTTACATTAAACCTGGAAAGTCATCACATAAAAAAAACTCAAAAGGCGTGAAACTTTTCATGCCAAAATTCGCAAAAAAATGTCGCGTCCCGACTTTTCGGATCGATAACAGTTCGGGTCGTTGCAAAGTCGATTGATACGGGGTGTAGAGCAGGTGGATACCCAAGAAAAAGGTTGTATGAAAGGTCCACAAAGGCTGACAAAGCCGTTGGATGGGCGGCGGACGCTCGGCGAAGGCTCGGCGGAGACTTGGAGAAGGCTTGTAATACGTTCGCTTTTTATAATTTCAGCTGTTAGCGTTGGTTTTCTTTAATCTTAGTTACTGTAGCATATACTAAAAGACCAAAATTTGCGGCAGAAAACGAAAATCCGTAACTTTCACCTAATTATTGGTCATGTCCGAGGACTCGATCAATCTTATTATTTCTGCTAACTAAGCCTCCTCCTGCCTCCCCAATGCATGCAACGATCAACCGACGCGATCCACAGCATCGTTGACCCGAACTGTCGCTGACCCGAAAAGTCGTAGCGCCGAAATCGCACAGTCTAAGAAAAAAAAATTCTAAATGTCTGTCAAATTTCATCAAAATCTGAGCATCGCAATCCCTGCACTTGTATACATATCATATTTCCAAGCCTACACTTTCTGTTTACATTTTTTCAGCAAGCCTCCAGGCCCAGTTTCCTTTCATTAATCCTGGCATTTTGTCATAATCCAATGTCTTGCAGAATTCCTTGGAATTTCGACCGGTTCTTCAAGCTGTAAATGCCTTGCTCTTTTCGCATCAGACGAATTCGTGGTTTTTCGTCGCTTCATCCGGATTTTCCAGACGTAAGCGCAAAAAAACTTCATCACCATAAAAGTCTAGGTGGTCGTGGTGTAAGTGAACGCACGTTAAGCGACGAAAACCGGAAGAGTTTGGGGGGAATGAGAGATCACAAAGAATAATGAACACGATGGATAGAAATTTACAGATCGTCTTTGAATTTTGCACAAGTTTGCAGCATTGGACTTGAAATGGTGTGTGAAAGTCTCACCTTTTGTTGTGCAGAGGCGGCCGAGATATTCAGCAATGTTTGCCGAGAGATTACAAGAAAAGTGGAGAGAGGAGAGAAAAGCAAATCTTGGCCATATTTTTGCCAGTTTTGCGCGGAAAAAATTGGTTTAATGCGGAGCAGTTCCATACCGAAAACAATTGCTTTTTTGTCGAAGAATTCCTCTCTATGGTAGAAATGCGCACGAGACTGTTCATGGTAAAATTTAAAATGGCGCTACGACTTTTCGGGTTAGTGACAGTACGCGTCATCATTGTATGCATGGGGGAGGCTAGGATAATGTTTAGTTGGTAAAAATAAAAGATTGAACGGGTCCTAGGATAGCTTATAACGGGAGACTGACTTTTCGGTCCCCCCACTTTCGGTCCCCGCCTTTTCGGGCCCGGCTTTTGGGGTGGGAGACTTTTCGGTCCC